TCATTTTAGAAGCATATTGAATATGTACATATAAAGCTTCTAAAAATAATGGGTCTTAGCAGAAGACCTTTCGTGGTCATTGCACAGCAAACTACATTTCCTACATTTTTACTTTAATTATTCTGATGTGTTGCTTCATTGTTAAGGACTTGGTAGCAGAGATCAATTTCACTGCTAAGTATGCAGCTCTCAAAGGACATTTGCATTCTGTTTTATGCTGGAACCTCAGAGCTTCCCCCTCACTTTGTAAATAAGGGATACAAGGAAGGGTCAGCTGTGCAGGCTAGCAGTATTTCTTATAGTTAATTTATCAAAGTGATTTTGTAATGGTACTAGGAAAATACAGAAAAATACCTGGAGTTATGTCCTGCCTGCTGTAAATTTTCAAATCCCAGACCTGTTTGGGTTTTTTTTTTTGTTGAATATGTTTTTGAAACAAGTTCAAAATTATATGGTTAGAGTTTGCTTAACAGTATTAATTTTAAAGGTGGTTGGTTGCCTTTTTTTTTTTTTTTTTTGAGGTAGGAATGGGGCAATTTCCAGTATCATATATTCCTAGTGCATAGGGATTCCCTACATTTGTTTTGGCTTAGAAGGGTGACCTTGACCCTTGCTGGAACAGCTAGCAGAGTGAGAACAGTATTTTAGATTAATGTGTTAAAAGGCTCATTGCCAGGATCGCAGCGGCACGGGGGGGGGGACCCCATTATTATCATCGGAGGAAGCAGCCCCCGGTTCTGTCACTGCAGAGCCATCAGCCCTGTTGCCCAGGTGTGACACGCATCAAGATAAGTCAACAGAAAGGCTCTCTGAAACAGATTACAGGGTTGAGGCAGGTAACGGCCACAGAATATGGGACATATTATGGGATGCAGGAGGAGAGCATCTTGTGACTGTACAAATCTTATTATGGGATGCTTAGGGGAGGGGCTAAGGGGAGGGAACAAGACGGTTTAAGGACAAGCAAGTATGAGGAAAAATAGGATAAGGGGATAAGGTCAATTGTAAATGAGTGTATGGTCAGTATGTTTGTCTACGCCTGGGGTCAGATTACCTGCAGCCTGTTCTCTTATTAAGCTTCATTTCTAACTGTATTCCTGGGTGAGGGGTGGCTCTGTGCTATATTCATGAGGCATAAGTGCCAGCAACCAGAGTGGTACCATGAGTTATAGGGACCTCTGTTCCTGGTGTGTGAGAAACTGGAGTGAGTGCAGGTCTAAATGCCAGCAGCTAGAGCGGAGACTGTAAGTCATAGAGGCCTGTGTGTCTGGAGTGCCAGTAACTGCGGAGACCGGAGTGCACACCTATTGTCTTGGCAGGTATGCCAGTGCATGCTTGCTAGTGCATATCATGCAGGGCTAGCCAGGACGAGAGGCATGGGAGCCAGGTTTTGAGGCAGTGTCCCACGCTTCCCACTGGTGAGTGTGGGACAGGTAGAAGTGAGATCAGAGTGTCTTCAGTTTGGCAATATGAGAGTCCAGCAGGTCTAGGCCAGCTACTGGGGGGGACTGTAAGATCTGTGGGTTGTTTTGGAGGCTCATTTGCATGTATGTCTCTTAGCAAGACAACTAGAGATGAAAGGATCCAAGGACCACTTACTGAGTAGACTGAATGTCTAAGGCCACATACTGGGGGATCATGGTATGCCTGGGGGGAACTGTGTGGGTATACTTGGGTGAGAAGGTCTGCACCCTCAACTGGAGTGGGGCTCTGGTGAGGCTGAGGATTCAAAGTTGGTTCCTGGATAGATCTAGTGTCTGAGGCCAGTTAGTGAAAGGATCTACATTGTATGTGTATGTATATTCCCCACTAACGGACTTCTGTCCTGGTCAGATAGGGAGAGGAGCCGCATAAGGCATGACCACGTTTGTGTTGCACGAACACAGGTTTTAGCTGTGTTGATCTATATGGTCAGCCATGTGTATATGCATGTTTGTACGTGCAGCTATGGGAATACATCCCCAGCCTTGTCACTGGCTGGACCTGGGGACATGGAATTGAAGCATCCTTGTCTCCATTCAGCTGCTAAGTTAAACAGCCCTTAACACTAGAAAATTACTTTTTCTGTAAGTTTGAAGATGCAGAAATCATTGACTCTCAAAACTTAGATTTGGAGCCAAATTGTCAGTGACTGTTAAGTTGTGATAGGATTTTAAAACATCTGTTGGTCTGGTTGATGGGAATAGGGCAACCTACATGAATAGATAGATACGCTTGTTTAAGCTGCCATGACAGAGCAGTGGAGCATAATTTAAATGTAGACTTTTGTTGTAGATGTGGGTGTTGGTTTGTTTTTTTTTTTTTTAATAGTGTCTTTTTTAACTCGAGGAGTAAAAATAGAAATAGGAATAAAAATTGGGATCTTTTAGTGACCTGATAGGTCACTTACCTTTTCCCTCTCTGTATGTCATAGAATCATAGCATCACATGATGGTTTGGGTTGGAGGGGACCCTTAAAGATCATCTAGTCCAGCTCCCTGCCATGAGCAGGGGCATCTTTCATTAGATCAGGTTGGATGAAGCTCTGAACAATGTGATCTTGAACAATTAAAAGTTTTGCATGTCTTGCCCCTATTTCCATGTATAGAAAAGAGTGTCAGTAGAGTCTGAGTGGGGATGCTTAGCATAATAAGAACTGACCTTTCTTTTAGACATTTTCTGGTTCTAGTCTAATGCTATAGCATTCAGTTGTTTTTGCTGGTAAGTTAAAAGACTCTAGTTAGATCAAATACCAAGATAATAGAAAAAAAGAGAAGATTTCTGTCCTGTTTACTGATGGAGTTCATGAACATTTGGATACACACATGTATAGATAGAATAGAATGATGAGCAGATTATTTTACATTGAAAACTGTAACTAGAGGTATTTCACATCAAATATTAAGTACAGCTTCGGTATCTGTCCTTACGTGATTCTAGAAATCCTCTTTGCTTGTGGAATACTGCCAAATGTGCACTTTTTTCTCTTTTAACATTTCCGATACACTTAATTTTTTTCCCCCTAAAGAATCTAATTTAATATAATTCCATAGTTTAATAAGTAGTTATTTTCAAGTGATTTTTCTCTTTTCTGTCCAAGCAAGAATAATTTTAACATCTGGTAGAGCAGATAGCTGAAATACAATACTGAAATACTACTACTGAAAAGTGGAACAATGGAGATTATTTCTTCTAGAAAGTACTGTAGCTATGCTGCTTGCATGTGTGGATTTTTATTTTTTCCCCTTTTAACATGCTGACAGAAGGCATTGTTTTATTCTGGCCCTCTCCCTTTGTGTATTACAAATTTTGAGGGGACTGTGTGGTGATAGAGGGGGAAAGTGAAAACAAAAAAATAGTAATTTTAGTATAGTGGATAGTTTTCAGTGTCCTAGGCAGCTTGTGCAAGTAGGCTTTTGCTTTAATTTTTCTGGGTTTGGAAGGCACCTCATATAAGTGCTCATGTTTTCTTCCCAAGTTAGTGGCATATCAGACAATAGAAATAAAGCTGGAAACCAAGTAATTTTTTCAAGGCTGGGGTCACAAATGATAATACAGTCGGTTTTGTACTTTAAGACGTGATGTCTAAAGGCAACCACTAGTCTCCACTAAGTTGTAGTACTGAGAGAAGGCAATGTATGATTAAAAAAATTATATAATGTGTTTTTTCATATTAAAGAACTACAGCTCCTTGTCAACCACAGTTATGTGAATTTGATACAGCCTTTAGGTTTCTTGATTTTTATTTTGTGCTTCAAGTTGTGTTTCCAGTTTTCTTTTTCTAGCAGTGTGGAAAGAAACGCATATCACGTGTTAGAGCTGCTTCCCTTTCAAATGATCTAGACCTGCAAGTGTGCAGTAAATCTGATGATTTCTGAAAGTGCCAACCTAACAATATGTACCTGCTTTCTGTCCTTCCTGCTTGCTATTCAGGAGAGCACTCAGACAGAAAGCTGGTATTTGGAGTGTGTTGTTGCAAAGTGATTCATGCACCTTGCTTGGGGACAGTCTTTTTCCATTAGACTGCAGAACTCTTGAAGTAGGTGCAGCCTAAATGAGTTGTTTTGGTGGCTGCAGCTTTTTTCTGATCCATGGTTTTCATCAATGCTTTGTACATTCCGTAATTTTATTTTATTGGCTTCCTAGGTAACTAAATTGGGTTCTGCACATTGATGATCCTAATGGAGGGGAATATCATCAACTTCTTTGTATGGCTCTGACTTGAATCCAGTATATATTTGACAGTTAGTGTTTTTGTAGTTTAGTCATGAATTATTAAAAAATATCTCAACCCTTTGCAAAGATGAAAAAGCCTCAGGCCTCAACAGCCTGAAATTGTTCTGCAACTCCTTAATATATAAAAATTCTCACTTGTTTTGGATGTATAAAACTCACTTTATGCAGATGTAGATGCTGATTTTGCTTGATTTTATAAAAATGGTCAGCCAAGTTGGTTTTTTTTTTGAGGAGCAAGGGTGTGGCTGAAGTGAGGGGTTTTTTATTACTAGAATGAAAGGTTTTTGATGTGTAGAAGAGGCCTTGAGGCTGGTGGTTTTACTTCTCTTCCTCCAAATGCCTTTTAAAAATGAGTGTTTCTGTATGAAAATTCAGATGTCTTACTTTTTCTTTGAAAGTCTATCCTCAGTACTTTCTAAAAGTAGAGGGAAAACTGACCGACTTTGAGTGTAGATTTACTTTTATAACTCTTCAAAATCTGTTTGCATTTGACATCTTATTAAAGAATTCTTCTATACTTACTCCTGGAGTTTAAGTACATCTCATGACCATATGGTATCTTGACTTGTAGATTGCCTTGATCATCATCTTTTAGCTTTAGTAAAAAACTTAGGTATTACATTTTAAAGTGCAGATTTATTGGGACGAAGAGAATAAAGAAGTGAATATATATTACAGTTTTATAATTAAGATACTACACTTCAGATATATACATTCTTGTATAAATATAATGAATGCTTTTGTATGTATAGTCACTGTTGTGATTTATGGCTGCTCTTCATAATTTTAAGCTAGAGAATATATGATAGACCCTTGGTACTAAATTTATCAATGGTTATACAATCTTATATGAATATTTGCATTATTCTCACATTAAACTTCCATGCAAGCTCAGGGAAAATCCTTCTGAGCTAGAACTGAGCTCTCTACTTCCAGAGATTTAGTCCTTGATTTCTTCCCATAGTTTTAGATTTTATTTCTGTGGCTTTAAGCTTAATGTCTTTTTCATTTGGTTTTGACCTTCAGGAGATGGCCTCTTCTAAGTCTTTGATGAACCTTCTAACCTTCACTTTTGGATCAGCAATAGGATTTTTTGTATGCTATCTTCTGTTTAGCATTATACTGGAAGAGGAGGTTAAGATCCAGCCTCATATTCTTCACAATGATCCACATGGTCAACACTCATCAGATACTGATAACAATCAGCTGCAAGGACAAATGAATTTCAATGCAGACTCTGGACAGCATAAAGGTATTTTGTTACACCAGACATTATATAACCTGCTCCCTTTTTATGCATTGCAAAATGTTGCTTTCTTCACTGCTGTGAATTTGTATGAATCCTTTTCTTTTACTTTCCCCATGTTCAGGTTACATCTAAATAACTTTGTTCTCCTGAGGTCTACTGAACAGGGTTTTCTTTGTTTACGTTTTTATTAAAAGATCTTATTCCTTAGAGCCCAACTGTTTGTCCAGCTTCTGGATCCAAACTTGTTTGGAGCAGGAACTTCTCCAGTGGACTATTGACATCAGATGGTGGTTTTGCTAAGCAGATATATTTGCTAGCATTGTAGATGTGGCTAAATTGCTTTTTAGCTTTAAGAAGCTAATTTTGGACCACTTCTAACTTTTGATCTAGCCTCTTAGAAAAAGCTAAAAAAAAAAAATATCACTTTTTGATACGATTAGTAAAACTTGGAATTGGGCTGAGGGGGTCACTGTGGGCATTGTTTGCCAAGGTGATTATGTAGTAGTACAAACACAGATTGCTGTTAGCAGTCAAAACCAGAAATTTTGTTGCACTCTTATTTTTCCCAAAGAACGTAGATCCTTCTAATATTTCAGGCATACTTTTACATTTGACACATCTCATTTAATGAGTTAATTCTAAATCCTAAATACAGATAATGTCTGAGTTGGTATAGTTTGGATGAAAAAAAAATGCACTATAATGCATTTGCGAAAGAAGATGTTAATAAGTAATTTGCTATTTAGATGTATTTAAACTGCAGACTTCATAAGACAAGTTTGTGAGTGTTTCACATGTAGAACATTATTACAAAGAAATTTGAGCTGTCGCATGAAGTGTAAGCAGGAATATTTTAGGTTATGCAGATCTCATTCTCCATGGAATATTCTTTTGCATGAGTTAAAATTAGTCTGTATATATCAAATGAAAATATTTCTTTGAGGGAAATAAATGCTTTGGTGGTTTGGAAAACATTACACACTGCAGATAATTGTGTCTGTTCTGTAGGATTGTCTGAAAAAAAAAATTTTAGCACAACAATAATAGTAGTTTCATAGTATCCTAACTTATTTAACCTGATTTTTTACAAATAACATTTAACTTGATTTGGTGATAAATTATTTTTCAGGCTTACCATCTGATTTTTCTTTCAAGAATTTGTTTCTGTTTTAGAAATATTTACTAGGTTTTGTTAGTTAACATGAATATATATAACAGAGCTTATTAGCTTTTTGACCTTTCTGTGTTGTAATCATTAAGTTCTGTATATTGTGAATGGCAAAATATTCAGCTTTTAAATTTTCATTAGTTCTATGACACCATAAAGAGGTTGACTCCAAGTAGTTTTTACGTACATATCCAGGTTTTCTAAAGCCGTACTTCCCTGAACAGATACCCATTTTGACATGGCTCTTATGCTCTCCTTTATCCTTGAAGTTGAAGTAGCTTTAAGCATTTTAGCTTCTTGGTTTGGGGAGTCTCGTTTGTTTTCTTCCTAAATATAACATTAATGTCATTAACTGGTACATCTGGAGCCAAATGCCTCGTCTCTCTCTTCCATGTCTCTTCTGATGTAGATACAGGATGCTGGGGGGGAGGTTGCTCTTTGTCTGTTTTTCAATCAAGTCTAATACTGTTTTGGAACTTTCCTCTTTTTTTAGATGAGAATAAAAATATTGCAGAGGGACTGTATCAGAAGGTGAAAATACTGTGTTGGGTCATGACTGGACCTCAAAATCTAGAAAAGAAAGCCAAGCATGTTAAGGCCACTTGGGCCCAACGTTGTAATAAAATACTTTTTATGAGCTCTGAGGAAAATAAAGACTTCCCAACTGTGGGCCTAGAAACCAAAGAAGGCAGGGACCAACTGTACTGGAAGACTATTAAAGCTTTTCAATATGTATATGACCATTATTTTGATGATGCTGATTGGTTTATGAAAGCAGATGATGATACATATGTTATATTGGACAATTTGAGATGGCTTCTTTCAAAATACAATCCTGAACAACCAATATATTTTGGAAGAAGGTTTAAGCCTTATGTGAAACAGGGCTACATGAGTGGAGGAGCAGGATATGTTCTGAGCAAAGAAGCTCTGAAGAGATTCGTTGCTGCATTTAAAATGAACAAATGCTCTCACAGTTCCTCTATTGAAGACCTAGCACTAGGAAAATGCATGGAGATCATTAATGTGGAAGCAGGAGATTCTAGGGACACAAGTGGTAGAGAAACCTTTCATCCCTTCGTTCCAGAACATCACTTAATCAGAGGATACCTACCAAAAACATTCTGGTACTGGAATTATAATTATTATCCTGCTGTAGAGGTAAGTCCTTAGGAACCTGATACCCATTTTGTGAAGTACCTCTTATGATGTGTATGAATTTGTATGATGTCTGAATTCTCAGTTTAATAGCAGCTCAGTATATTTTAGAAAAGAAGATTTTGTTGTGATATCCTGTGATACATCTCTGTGTAGATGTGTTAAATACGTTAATCAACTAAAAGTTGCTGCTAAGAACGTTCCAGAAGTGCTAGTGAATCTTAAATTATTACTGCTATTTTGCTATGTTCTGTGGACAGCAAAAAATTATGAAACCTTTTTGACGTGCTTGTCTAGTGTCACTACTACCTTCCTTAAAAAGTTACTGTTCTGTTTTGTTCCCTCATACCTCACACACAGTGTCCCTAGCTTCTCCTCCAGCCACCCAACTACTAGTGTGCAGTTTGAATTGAGACCGGAGTGGTTCATTCCAAGAGGTGTGTGCTTATTGTACAGAGCCAGATCAAACAGTATGACTGAGCTATGTTATAGCCTGCTGAAGGGAAGGTGGCACTGATACACCTTTATCTTCTACCCAACAGCAAAAAGAAATACAACTAATTTTGAGGGTTGCTCATGATTGTAGCTGGTTAACAGTGTCCAAGAGATTCCCACCATACTGGAGGAGCTAGCTGGTGGGTAATGGTATGCCTGCTGGTCTTTTTCTCTTCAAATGGAAATGTGCTGCAATATATTTCTCTTACCACTGATAAATGTGCAGTGTTACCTGTATTGAACACTGGTAGTTGCCCTGCCTTTATATTTTTTTTATTGAAGGTTGTTAAAAACGTACGTTTAAGTGAGTTCCATTGGAAAGATTACAGAAGAATGAATGTTGCCTAGAAGTGAAATAAAAGTATGACCCAAACAAGGAAATATGGTTAGGTTTCCTTGTGTTAGTTGTATTGGACTCCTCCTGTAGAAGTGGAGGCAAGCATGAGAGCTGGCAAAGCTATTTTTTAAAAAAAATCTGTTGTTGTAGCAACTAAAATAGCATTTACAAGCTGAAATATTGTTTTGACCTGGATTGGGAGCCCAGGAAGTGCTAAAGGTCCTCGGGTTAAATTAAGGTGAAATGACACCAAATGACTAGTTAAAATGTTTTACTTGTGGTAGAAACAACTTAAACTTGGAAAAGGATAATAAGCGATGTGGTCTCTTATTGATAGATCTGTAACAAAGAAAAGAAAAAGGAAAAGAAAAGGAGAGGAAGGGAGTTAAAGAATCCAGATCACCGCCCTAGCTTTCAGTGTTGTCTCAGGTCTGGTAATCTTGGGTGGTGGATACACACCCAGCAAAGTTTTCTGTTGCTGTCTTAAATTGGTTTTATCATCTGATTTGCATACTAGATGAGGAGAAGGGTTTTCCACAGACTCATTTGCATGACAGAATAGGTAAGGTGGAGCATGGGTTCGGCACCCTGTGTTGAGGGGGGATGGGGTGTATTAACGCTTCAATTCAATTGAGTCTGTGGTCATCATCCTCCCCTACCATCTTTACCTTTTCCTCAGTTTTTTATTTCGGCAGTTATCCAGCCATTAGCTCTATCTGGTGCTGTGTGATTTTTCTCTTTCATCAATTGTATAACTCCTCTTCAACAGTATAGTCGTAAATTAAGGTGTAGGCATTAACCCAAACATATGGTTTTATTCAGTCTATGTCTCCCCCTATTTGAGGCTTATCTAAGGAATATGGCTATACAGCTGCATGGGAGCAAAGCCATGCACCCTCCAATACAGTCTTTGCTTCCCTAGTCAGATAATTCATTCCTTAGACTAACCACAAAGGCCACAATTTGTCCTTGAGGCTTTCTGTGTTAGTGAATCTTTGAGGCATTAACTCCTTCAGTTCCTCACAACATCTTGAGTGCAAGAACTTCAGATTGTCTTTGAGTTCCACATCTGAAATCTTTGGTTTTAAAAAAACAAAGGGGAGGGGGGGGTGCGAAACCAGGGAGCTACTTGAAATTGAAGCAATTTGAAGGTGTTCTGCACTGTAAACTTTGATGGTCATACAATCTGTGATGTGGCTTCTTTTTTAGGATTATAATCTCAATTTTAAAGGTATTGTTTTTGAGCAATCTTTGAAATCAGTGTAAGTGGACAAAATCAAGGATAGGATGTGGGATTTTTTTACACAGTAAAGCTGGAGAAAAATAGTTCTTCAGTAGATACTTTTCATTGTAAAGCATCTGTTTTTATACTTGTATTCAGTGGCTAGAGCATTTCTGTAACTGAAAACAGCTATGAACCTGTATTTAGTGTGTCAGGATGCAGCAGCTTTAGCTATGATTGCAGTTTACAAGTGGCTGAGCTGTGAACAGTTACATCTGTAACTGATGCAGTGATGGTGGGGATCCATAATGGAAATGACATAGTTGGTCCTGTCTTACCATTTTTGTGTTTGGATAGAGCCTATTTCATCTGGTATCAAAACCAAGCTATACTGATCAAACTTAGTAAGTATTGAAAGAATAGCAACTATATAACAATTGTTTTCTTCAGTGTCTTTAAATCTTAGTTCCAGTTAGAGTTGGAATATTAGTATCTCTGCGATCAAATCAGATGAAATAAACCCCACAAAACTGTCTTCTGGAATAGTGTTCTCAAAGCTGAATTTGAGCTAGAAAATGCAAGTTATAACGAATATGTTAACAATGATCTTTTAGGTCTTAAAAAATGCTTAATAATGTCAATGAAATTAATAATTTTTTTAAAAAAAGGGTAGTTCCAAAATTATTTGTTAGAACTTTCTATACATAGGAAGTTAGGTACTGACAATTTTGCCAAACTGTATAATGTGTGTTCATACAGAGGTGCCTGCGCACACACGTTTGGCTTATATAGTCTGCATGGATGCTGTCAGGAGTAACAAGCATGTATTGTTTCATATATACGTGCAATGCATTTAGACCTGCTTGCTGCTGCTTGGTTTTCTTTAAACACCAACCAAAAAAAAAAAAGTATGGAAAAGCAAAAAATCCTCTGACATTAATGAGAGCAGCTAGTTTTTTCATTGGTTTGATAACAGAAGCAAAAGACTTTGTTCAGATTTATTGTGAAAGAATGCTTTGGCAGGTAAGTCTGATATACTTTGCTTGCCTAACATTAAGTTTTGAAGTATATGTATGGCTGACGACAGTGAATTTCTTACCATGAAGTCAAGTATGTGTTTGAAATCTTCCTGAATCTTTAATCCAGGGCATGCTATACAGTTCTTGCTGATTATTTTGACTTGTTTTGTATTTTAGGGTCCTGGATGCTGCTCCGATCTAGCAGTTTCATTCCACTACGTTGATTCCGTGACTATGTATCATTTGGAATATTTGATTTATCATCTCCGTCCTTATGGGTATTTGTATCGGTACAATCCTGATTTGGCAAAGAATCCAGAAGAGCAGAGCAAAAATGAAGCACTGGAGGATAATCAAAAGCTAAAGCAAAAAATTTCTGAGAATTAATTGGACTTTGAAGAAAACAAAAGAAGTCAGTACAATGAATAAGAGTCTCCTCAAACTCCTGCATGAAGCTTGTGGACTAGAATTACTCTTGGCGATTCTTATTTCAAAAATCACGTTGGCGGTACTTTCTGTCACTGTCTGTGTACAATAGAGTCCAGCGCTGGCTGTGACTGTTTGGGATAGTGTGACCTTGCAGCCCTGCTCATGAAGATTGAAGGCCCTAAAGCTGTGAAATAGGAGGTTGTTCTGGTACACTAATATCTGGAAGAATTCATATAGAAACCATAATGGATGAGTTCAAAGATAATCATACAGTATTTCTGTTCCCTTTTCTGTTCTACTCTGTTTCCTTCTAGATGTTCTGTTAGGTCAGTTCTGATATTAGAAATTGGATGTCGCACAGTCTAATGCTTCATGATGGCTTTCTCTAGTATTCTCAGTATCTCGAAGTTACTTCGTGTACCTTGCCCTATAAGGAAGAGGCATGAAAATAGAATCTCAAGTCTGCTTTGCCTTAGTGACAGACTGGTTGTTATGAATAGGCAGAGATCCACTCAAAAGATTCATCTGAATGGTTTCAGAAATGAAATTGACTGCTATGAATTATTTTTAAAAGTTTTTAGTCTCTGTTGCACACAACAATATGATGTTGGATCACTACTGTTTTGCGGAGAAACCCAGAAATAGTTACTTAGTTAATAGTTTAAATAGTTTAAATTGCTGAGGTGATGCGAGCTGCTTACGTATTTGCCTGTGGCTTTTTTTTCCTATAACTTGCCTTATTGGTTGAATTGATAGAAAAATTAATCTCAGAATTTCTAAGCATAAGATAAGGTAGATGCTTTTTGAAATAAAGTCTCTCTCATCACACCTTCCATGTAAACAAAAAAAGAATAGTATCTTAGAAAAGTTACAGTGGCATTATAATAACTTGGTTTCAGCCAGTATTATAATGAGTTTGTTTCCATTTCAGTTTGACATCACTACTCTTAGACTGTGGAGTTACCTTATTCATTAGAATCTTACCAGATACAAACAAGTCCTATTTTAAAACTGCAGCAAAGCTGATTTGACTGTTTCCCTACCCATCTAGTTTATTTGGCTGAAGTACTTAATTTCACTTTTCTGAATGGTTTCCTTTTTCCTCTGCTTTTAAAAATTTCTTCTGTATATGATTCTTGTTACCTTTCTCAGAACAGTGTTAAATGATCCTTACTTTACTCTTTTTGAAGCTGAAGTATGTAGTTATTCAGGTGAGCCAGCATAATGCAGGAATCTTTCAAAGTGCATTAACTTTCTCCACTACTTTGAGTATCTCTGCCTCTTAACTGCAAACGCTTTCTCGGTGTGAGACAAAACAGGTGTTTTAATTACTGAAAAATTTTCAAAGGCCAAGCCTATGTTTTATATAGTTAGTGTAAAACTTTCTGGTTTTCTCGTTTTCAAACTGAGTGAACAGTAGTATGGGGGATGGGATTAAGCGTCACATGTAGTGTGTCTTTATTCCACGCTTGAACAAAAGTTTCTTCATCTTTATCACTTTTCACCTTCATCATATTGATGAATTTGGACACAACGTAATTACCTCCAGTCATTGTTCTGGAAAGGGCACATACTGGTAGCAGACAGCCTTATTTACTACTGCTGTCCTTCAGGATGTTCCTGGAAGAGGATGTTACCATAAAGTACTGGATCTTATTTTATTTTTTTTTCCAAAGATAGTTCTTGTACAGATCAGGGTTCTTCTGTTGTGCAACAGTAAAGAATCATGACTTCCTTTCTTGCCATTGCTCTGCAGCAAGATGGCAATTACAGAAATATCTCATGGAATTGAAATATTAGATACATCTTCCCTTTCTGAATATAGGTTGGGTTCATATATCAAGTATTAGTTAAATGAGTAGTTCCTGCAGGGTTAAATCTGTTGGTCTTTTATGAACAAGACTGCCTCTGAAGTACTGAAAGGGACAGAAGCTTTATTTATGTTAATTGACGGAAGCAGAAAATTATAACTTCATTTTTTTAAAAAAGGAAAAAGTCTCCAGTTTGCTCTAGTCAGAGGGATGCTTGTCTAGAGGAGAATGGATGAGAGGTGCTTCCTTCTGTGATCTAAACGTTTATCCCATGTGCAGCACAACCCAGTAATATTGTGAAATCCATGTGGTATTGATAACTCCAGTGGCATTGTTCAAACATGCAATTAAAATTTTTTTGAATACTTCAGTTGTGAAATGAAATCAAGATCCCAAGTTAATCTCTTCGTAAATTCAGTCAGTATAGAAGATGTACTGAACTCCTGTACTGTTCCAGTATTACTGCTTTCTTCCTCATTTCATCTGTGGGAATTTAAAGATTTTTGTACCACAACAGGCAGAACTAATCTTGCATATTCTCTGCAGATTTGTGTCCTATGTTTTCCCTGTGCTGCACTGTGAACTAACATTTCTTCCTCATATTCCTTACTGTCCTGACTGTCTTGTCTTTGAGTTTTCAGTTTCATCATGTATAAGTCTCAGGTGGACAGGAAGAAGTGGGTAGTGAGATGTTTGAGCTCTGCACAGGTTGGTTGCTGAGGTGGCAAGTTCACCCAGCCACTGCTGAGCTCATGCTGAAGCCTTTTCTCAGCAGCAGTTCTCATTGTTGTCTGCTGCCCATCTGGGGCTTGTGGGTTTAGCAGAGTGAGTCAGGAATGTCCGTTTTCACAAAACGTGCAGGACCCCAGAGAATGGAGAAATAAAGGAACAGGTTCAATTTGCAGGAATAAGACTCAGAACATACTACCTTATGATAAATAGGTGGCCCGTCTGGAGAAGTAAGAGGAGTCTTCTTCAACCGTCCATTCTTGCTTTGTTTTAAAGTGTCCTTGTTCTTAGGCTTCTGAATCTCTTTTGCCTTTCTAACAGCACTGCAAAGAATTTTTTTCTTCCTTCCAGACAAGCTAAAAAAGTTATAATTTTTTACATTCTGTGATTATAACAGAGGACTGTTGTTCTCTGTTTAATTGTATTGCCATAACAGTGAGCTGATACCTCTGAAATAATTGGTTTGTATCTTGCTACCTTCAAAAGCTTCAGTAGTTCAAGGTTGGAATTTGAACAGTTAGTATAATTTTAATGTACAATATCACACTACTGTTAGTAGTTTGTTATTTCACTCTCAGGTCTCTGTGCTTTGAGAAAGTATTTACTGAGTCTGAGTATTTCTGGAGCCCAAAGAGGCTGCTGTATTTCAGGTGGATTGACCTTTCTGAAGCGCAGCAACAGAGGCTGTCTTAGGCTATATCGATTATTTTTCTGCGTCTTTGGGGTTTTTTGCTTCTAAAAGAGGTTTCTTAATTTTATAAAACCTAAAAGTTTCCATTAACACTGTAGTGATTTAGATGACCCATCTAAAAATTTTGAACTACTTCTCTTGAAATTACTAGTCAGCAGTTATTTGTAGGTGGAGTGGGAATGTCACTTAGGGTAACAGAGTAACAGTTTAACCTTGTTGTGTTTTTTAGTTCAGAAAGAATGAGGATGCCAAGAAGTTACCTTCTAATCCCTGTTCTTAATCAGAGATAGTATTAATCTTTGCAGAAAAAGACCAATTTTAATCTTTCACTCTCAGTTCATTTTTGCAGTCTATACCGGTCTTGTTCAAGAGGTTAAATGCTGGTGATAGTAGCACTGTCTCTCATTTTGCGGAGCTCTTTTCTCAGTACTTTCTACCTTTAAGGCCACTTTCTTTATTTTGCTTTGGTGGGGGTATATATTAAAAATCACTTTTTCATCTCATGTTACCATGTGTTCTGTTACACTTCCAGAAGTATAAATTTTAGTGAGTAGCTGATACACCTCTTACAAACAGTTTGCTGTCTGAGCAGGGTGTTTGTACATGTACATACATGTACATGTACATGCATGTTTGTACATGTACGTACAACAGAAAAGTGCAGGTTATTTCTCTGATGTACCTCCTACTCATGTTGATGGTGCATGCACAGATGAAAATGGATCCCTCAATACAGGACCACTTGGAAAGGCAACTTTGTCCTTTTTCTGGCAAGAAAAGCTTCTGTGGAACTCCAAAAGTGTTTGCTTTGTTTTACCATATTGTATTTAAAATACTCCACAAATGTTATTAATGCTCTAAAAGAATTGAAGATTGCTGCTGGACAGTATGCTCCATTTAAAACCTGTGAATGTTTCACTTTGGAATTATAGGTAGTTGTGTCCCTAATGGCAGATATAAGTTGGTGACTTGTCTGGGATGATCACCATAAGGATTTGTTTCTTAAATATCTTCTTTGAAGTGCCTTTGACCAATTTTTAGCATCAAAATTAAGTTGAGAATTGAATAAATAAGTTATCTCATACACAGTTCATGTCTGTCTTCATTTCCCTCTCCTGTACGCTAGTAGTGTAGCATAGCAGCACAATTTAGCCTAAGAAGAACATTCTTACTTTTTCTTGGGTGGGTACAGGGGAGTCAAAAAGCTTCTAATTTGCCATGTTTTCTGTTACTACATTTATGCTATGAACAAATCGCAAGCTACTGTGAAAACACAGATGGTGGGTTTAAGTGTAAAATTAATGGTACTAGTCCTGAGTCATACAAGCAGGCTGCTGTTACTGCATCGTCCTCATTTTTTCAGTTTCTCCACATTATTACAGAGTCCTGAGTGAACTGACTACAGCTGATACCTCAAAGATAAACTGTTCAGAATTAACCAGCTGGTTTTTTTTAAAGGGATTTATTATTTCAGTGAACCTCTTCTGAAAAAAAACCCTGGTAAGATTTAACAAGATTGTCGTGCTTTCTAACCTAGCTTTCTGCTATTTATGCAGAAGAATATTCTGTGGTTGTGCAGATGGGAGGTATCTTTAGGTATGAAACGTTGGTTGTTCCATTACCTTTATGTACTTACTGTACCTTAAGACCCTGCTAGTACTATTAACCTGGATTAATTAACTATTTTATTTCAAAGCGCAGGAAGTGTGTGACAACCAATTTAACTGTGCTCAAAAGCTAGAATATTGTAGCTAAGGAACAACGGCCAGTTGAATAGATGATAAAAGCTCCTCTCTGAAGTGTTGGGCATAGGTTATGCTTTTATGTAATGCCACTATACCTTTCAAGTGTCAGGATCAAACCAGAGCCAGCAAACTGCAGGGTGACGGGAGTACTGGAGCAGAAAACTACTACTGCTCTGGAGATAAACTGTTTCGTAAGTGTGGGCTTGCTTTGCTTGCCTTTTTTTTTTTTTCTTTTTTTTTTTATATGTAACAGACTCTGTGTATTTGATTACCAGAAGTTGTAGACCCAAGAGAAGTATCTTTAAATGAAGGTAGGCTCTTGTAACCTGCTCACTTAGAGAAAGCTTCATTGGCTCACAGGAATTTCCCTAGAGTTCTTCCCTCTGCACTAGTGTGAACTAAAAAGAAATGTAAGTAAATATCTGACACCAGGGGGACTGGTAAGTTTGTTCTGAGTTGCAGGGAAGATAAGCCTGCATATTGCTCATTTCAGCTCTTGCTGCAAAATGTTTAGCAGTCTTTCCTCCTTTTTGACAATGTTTCACCTAAATGAGGCCCTTCTCTGAGTTCCAGAAATGTGGTGGTGAGGGACTTACTCCTCATACAGTTATCAGAATAATTGAGAAAACCACAGAGTTCTGTAGTGAATGTTTTCATTGTTCCACATGTAAAGTAATTTAACATAGACTTGAGAAAACAGCTGGATCATGGAATCTTACTTCTAGGTGTTAGGGTGGTATTTGGCATTTATAAAGGAAAAGGTTATTTAATTCAGAAGTGTAGCCCAAGCTCTCCATTTTTTCATCTTTCTAATATATATTCCTGCAAGACTGCTTGAAATGTCATTAAAAATAAATTGTAGAGATACTCTCAACAAGGTTAGTCAAACAAAACGTGGCAGGGAGACTGAGTGCACTTTTATTAACATTGTAATTTGGATCTGAGCAGTGACCTTTCCTTTTAGCTCTTCTTTCCAGACACCCTCAGCCCCTGCTCAGCTGTGTGTACACCCCTCTCTTGTGATGAAACTTCAAGCCATGAAGTACAGCTCCTTCTTTCCTTCCTCCCCCAACAAGTGTTTTTTTGTCAGCTTTGTTTTATTCAGGGAGTTCGAAGCCTCAGGTGCTGGAGTCTGCACTGGTACTGACCAAAGCTTTATACCCCAGTGTCCCAGTTCTGCTCAGCGCTTCTCGTTTTGGGCCGTTCCGGGGATGTAAAAGGGTCAATTCTTTTACATATTCAAGGTGTTGCCTTCTTTGGAGGTGCGATTTGCCTTTTAAACATTCCCATCTCTTTTCTTTTCCCCTTCTTTTTTCCTTTTCCTGTCAGTGGTTTCACCCTCTGCTCTGCAAAGTGCTTTTTGAGGAGTATGCGATACCAGATGGATTGCTGTAATTTTCATGCTTCCATGTGGCTGCAGCTCACTTCAGGTCCCTATGTGAAACGGTACGCTGCCTTCAGTAAAGTTACAACGTGTTTTAAAATCAGCCTAAAAGAGCCACTAGCAGAGGAGGAGTTGGAATCGTGTTTTATCATTTGATGCTTAAAATACTTCTCAGTTTGGTAGGATGGACAGGTGGACTGGCTCCAAACTCTAGCAGCCAGTTGTGCTAAAGAAGTACAATCTTCTTAGAGAAGAGGGTATTCTTTGTAGCAACATTCTTCTAAAAGGAATGTGAATTTTCCAACTGTGCTAAATGTTGCTACAGTCACTATCTTATTTTTTTACTTTTGCACAGAGTTGAACAAGCTTTTGCAAAGCTGAGTGGCAATAGTTTCAAATTTAGATCTGCATAGAGATGGGAGTTTTGTAAGAATGTTAAATAAAAAGTTGGTGTAGGCAGCTTGCTTATTTATTTTCATTGAAACTCTAAAACTTTACTTGAGTAGGTATATAACTTTGCAGTACTGTTCTTCAGTTGTACAAAACCAAACTGTGGTACGTGTGAACCCATCGCTTTGGCAACTTGAAGTCAAAAAGGCTGGTTTGCTTTGAATTTCTAACCCTGCTTTCAATAACTCCTTGCCCTCTTCTGATTTCTTTCCCCTCCTTGGATAAAATCCCTGCAAGGCAAGGAGCTTTGTCAGTAACTTCAGTCACCTGAAGAATTGGATCAGCTGCCTCCTGCTGCTTCCCAATTCCACCCTGAGTTTCCTTCCAGTGTTCCCAGCAGCTCTGGATTCTGCATGATCTCGGGTAGTCAAGGTCTTGACTCTTCCTCCTCTGTCTAAGAACTGATCAAAAAGACTTAGAAATTAATGTACATTAGTACCCTACACCTTTAAAACCTTGGACTATGATTTTTTTTTTTTTTTCCCCTTTCACTGTCCCACATGAATTCTTAACTAGCAATCACCTGAATGTTGTGCTGTTAAGTGCTGGCTGTCTTCTCCCTGCCCCTGGATTTGGAGAGCATAACATTTAAGACAAACATTAATTTAGGGCCCAATTCCGAGTACTTGGCAGAAATCAAAATAAATAGGTATGTCTCTGTAATTATTACTTCTAAAATGTTGCCTTCAATCTCCTAGTTCTACTAAATTTGGGAGTATGGCAACACTGTTAAATGTCTGTTCTCTGTTTATCTCAAGTGGAGGATGTGGCTGTAAACTGGCACCCACACCCTTCCTAGATTTGTAGCCCAGGTGAGCATTCTGCAGGGATTATCGTAAATTTTATGAAATGATGCCTGAGGGTCTGAAGTTTTCCC